TTGGGCCTCAACAGAAGTCCAAGTGTTTCTCTCTCTCTCTCTCTCTCTCTCTCTCTCTCTCTCTCTCTCTCTCTCTCTCTCTCTCTTCATTCTAATTAAGCTCATTAGCTAGTCTAAATTAAATAGCGTATATTCTGCTGCAGTCCATTTTCAGTTTCAATAGAACATATTCATATATTGTATTTTATTTGATGGGCATACGTGGAATTCGATATAATTTTATGATTCATATTAGACTTAATAAAAACTATAGATATTTAGTTATATACATATTCTTAGCACTAGTGATATAGATAAACTCTACACCATTTAATCTATATAAACAAACCCAAAAAATGATAGCTGACCCTATTAAATTTAATTTTGGTTGTTAAATTACTTTAATACTCTTTTGAGTTTTATTATGAGATTTTAAAGTTGAGCTTGTTTTAAGAAATCTATTGGGCTCTAATTTGAGCATTATGAATTTCGGATCATATAATGGGCTGATCAATCCTCATCACTAAGGCCTTAAGAGCATCTAACGACTATGGGCTTTTTATTGGATTGGATCACCTTATCATTTTAGCTTCTTTTTTTTTCTAATAATAAATCTTCTTTAATTAGCTTTTATTAATATTTCTTAATACTTTCAATCGCAAGCGGTTTGTTGCTCAAATAGTTAAGAGCGGCTAGATTAACTTTCATGTAAAGTTGTGAGGGCTCATTAACATTGATGTTCTTAACTGGCTCCTGCATTCTTACCTTTTATTTATTTATTTTTTTTATATATAACAAAAAGTTTAGGGCGAGATTGACTACTCTTACCATCGGCGTCAAGGCAGACCTACAACCTCGAGCTGGAAGGACTTACACCTTCTTACCTTTTCATATACGTGGAACTTAAATTTTCAAGATTTCTCTCAACAATGTCCTTCCCCTTCACCACATACACACTTCTATTAAAAAAAGAGGTGAAAGCAGCAATATTCCCAATAAACCCAAAAAGTGAAGAAACATTTTGGTATATTACAAATCCAAAGACAGAAAACTAAAAAGGTTACTTTACTTCCAAGTACGTGATTCATTTGAATGCTTCAAGTAATTGAGCTTTAAATTCCTCTCTGATGAACAACCTCTATATGATTATTGATTTCTAACCTAGAAATAATAATTTGCTACACAATAAAATAGAGAAAAGGAAAAACACTAAAATAAAATAAAATGGAATTTTGTTTTCTTTAATTTATCAATACTTAGGCAGAGAGCACTCCTTTGGAAGGTTGCCTTGGAACCTCTGTTTATCTTGGCAATAGTCATAAATCATGTGGTGCTTTCTAACCCATTTGAACAACCTTCTCTGTGTTTTTGTTAGGGTGCTGAACTTCTTCTTGTTCCACCAGTTTCTAGGGCTCTCTGCCCTGCAAAACCTTGCATTTCCGTTCCAAACACAGGCATCAATCTTGTAGTTTCTGAATGAAGCTATGAATGGGCCCTTTGACCAATCAGTTTTGTCCTTGCCGCCTCTTGTCGCCCAGCTGTCGCCGTTCCATAGGAACACCCAAAAATTAAAAAAGCACTGAACTACTAAAAATAACTTGCATACTTGAAGACCAAAAAAAAATGCATTATACATTTCTCTAGGCCCAAAATTTATTCTGAGCTTGTTATCATCCAGGCCCATTTAGGTGCTGGGTTATTTATTTATTTATTATTCAGAATTTGTTGCCGGAATTTGAATTTGATGGTGGTACATGTTGTGGGGCCCACTTACGAATTTCTGCAAGGCCTTCTTTCATCCTTAAACCCTGCAATCAAATAATAAATCTTAGGAATTTCCAATCCTACTAGGAGATAGATTAGGGGTGTGCAAAATCCAATTCAAACCAATCAAACTAACCAAATCACCCTAATTTTAATTGGATTTGCATACGCATTGGTATGGGATTGAATTCTTTAAAATAAATTTGGATTTGGATTGGAAACCCTAAGATACACATATGCCCTAATGAATTAGGTTAACTCACTCCTATATATATATATATATTATTGCACAACACAAAAGCTGTAGCATTAGCATCCCAGAATTGAAAATTGAACATTCGCTCTTTTGTAAAGCTTTATTTTTCAAATATTGTTAATCAAACAGAGAGAGATGAGTGAGACTCTATTCTTGGCCTATTAAAATCTGGGTGACTACCTCTCTTTAAGCAGCTGGTTCCCTTGCTTCACGCTCAAGAAACTATTACTTCAACTCAGAGAAAATTCAGATAAGAAGAGAAAGCAATACGAAAACCAAACCAGTAGTTCTTCCATCTCCATTAACGTGGGTATACCTCCCCTAATCGCTTGTTCTAAAAAAAAATATTAAAAAGTAGTTTCTTTTAGGTCGAAAAGCATTTAAAAAGAGTTGCCAAAAAGATTCGGGTTTTATTATAGTATAAGTGACATTGGGAGAGATAAATTGAACATACAACTTCAACTTCATTTCAGATGCATCATATTGTGTGGTATCCAAATTGGTGATCATGAATCATGACTGAATCCAAAACGTGGCGTTAAGTCGCTAGCTAGTATCTTCTTCCAAGATCAGCACATGATTTTCCCTTTCGGAAATTCTAACATTAAGTTAGGCTTTTCATTGTTACATGTTTTTTCCCTAATGCAAAATATAAATTTTTCAATATCTATTTCAATGTAACCGCAGTATTCTAATAAATAAATTCATATGTTTTTTTCCTAATGCAAAATATCATGCTCTTTACACGGCGTATAAAAACACAAAACTCCACTTTGCTTTAGTGATAACAATTGTCTTTAATTAAAAAACGCATTGTCAATATGCACATCAGTGTTGGTGAAAAAGGTATAGATAACATGTCTATAGGTTTTGTTGGCGACAATGATACCAACATATTACTCAAGTATTAAAAAAATAATAATTTCAAGTATTCAAAACAAAAATAGCATAAAGAGTTGCTTGAGAGATTCTTTCTAAAACCAAGAATACCTTCCAGTAGCCCACTTCCCCATGTAAAAGAGGCAATCCTAATTTTTTTCTTGTTGGTCAAGGAATTCTAGAGAGATAAAAAAAACCCGACTCAATTTATCTTCTATAAGGCCTTCTTTCTTCCTTAAACTCTACAATCAAATAATAAATCTAATGAATTTCCAATCCTACTAGGAGAAAGACTAGGGGTGTGCAAAATCCAATTCAAACCAATCATACAAGTCAAACAAAGTAGGGTAAATATTCAATTATGCTCATATATGCTCATATATAATTCTTCTCCAATATGGAGGTATTTATAGAGAAGTACAACCCTAAATAAAATAGAAAATAAATCCAAATTACAATAGAAAATAAATCTCAATTACAATAGGAAATAAATCTCAATTATAATAGGACTAGATAAATGGTAAGTAACTAAAATCCTAACATAGTAAGGAATCAAAATCCTAACTAAGTAAGGACTCGCCAACAATACAGACCAAATCACCTTAATTTGAGTTGGATTTGCATACTCATTTGTATGGGATTGGATTCTTATACTAAGCTGGATTGGATGGAAAATTCTTCAAAATAAATTTGGATTTGAATTGGAACCAATGCCCATCCCTAAGATACACATATTACAGAATAGGTTGAGTAATCTTTTTTAAGTTTATTAATTTTATATTTTGGATTATAGGCAGGTTTCTGACACTTGCAATGTTTGCAAATAGGTAGAAGAAATATAGGGGTCTAATAGATGCGGAGCCCATCAATGTAACAGATCCCCCTTTATTAGAGAGATCGTATAAGTTGGTCTCTAAAAATGACCTCCTAGTATTTTCGTTTTCATATATATGGACTGTTAAAAAAATTTGTGCCCCTTGGTCTGATGGGCCCTGAGCTCTTGCCCTGGCCAGGGCCGGCTCCCAAAAATTTATGGGGCCTACTTTTGTTTTGGAATTTAATGATCATATAAATTTAAAGTATCTAAAATAGCATTACAAAAGTCAATGGGTATAGCTCAGTTGTTTGAGTTCTTCAACCTCCATTTATGTGGGTAGACCTCCCCTAATCGCTTGTTCTAAAAATAAAATTAAAAAAAAGAGTTTCTTTTAGGTCGAAAAGCATTTAAAAAGAGTTGCCAAAAAGATTAGGGTTTTATTATAGTACAAGTGATATTGGGAGAGATAAATTGAACATACAACTTCAACTTCATTTCAGATGCATCATATTGTGTGGTATCCGAAATGGTGATCAAGAATCCAAAACGTGGCGTTAAGTTGCTAGTATCTTCTTCCAAGATCAGTACATGATTTTCCCTTTCGGGAATTCTAACATTAAGTTAGGCTTTTCATTGTTACATGTTTTTTCCCTAATGCAAACAATGATACCAACATAATATTCAAGTATTCAAAAAAATAATAATTTCAAGTATTTAAAAAAATTATATATGTGTATATATATATATATATGTATATAGCATAAAGAGTTGCTTGAGAGATTCTTTCTAAAACCAAGAATACCTTCCAGTAGTCCACTTCCCCATGTAAAAGGAGCAATCCTAATATTTTTCTTGTTGGTCAAGGAATTCTGAAGAGAAAAAAAACGCGACCCAATTTATCTTCTACAAGGCCTTCTTTCTTCCTTAAACCCTACAATCAAATAATAAATCCAATGAATTTCCAATCCTACTAGGAGATAGACTAGAGGTGTGCAGAATCCAATTCAAACCAATCATACCGACCAAATCACCCTAATTTGAGTTGGATTTGTATGGGATTGGATTCTTATACTAAGCTGGATTGGATGGCAAATTCTTCAAAATAAATTTGGATTTGGATTGGACCCAATGCCCATCCCTAAGATACACAGATTCCCTGATGAATTAGGTTAGCTCACTCCTATGTATTATTCCACATGCACCCTATTTATTGTACATACAGCACAAAAGCTCTAGCATCGGCATCCTACAGTCGCTCTTTTGCAAATCTTGATTTTTCAAATATTGTTAATCAAACAGAGAGAGATGAGTGAGGCTCTATTTTTGGCCTATCAAAATCTGGGTGACTACCTCTCTTTAAGCAGCTGGTTCCCTTGCTTCACGCTCAAGAAACTATTACTTCAACTCAGAGAAAAATCAGATAAGAAGAGAAAGCAATATGAAAACCAAACCAGTAGTTGTTTTGAGTACAGCAGCAGCAGCGGGTGGCAGAGAGTACACGAAGATATCATGGAGATGATTGTACGGCGCTTGAGTTTAAGGGATCAAATTCGCACAGGTCTTGCCTGCAAGTCTTGGAATTCAGTTTGTATGCGAGGACACATCCGCGGTGCTCAAGAAGCGCCCTGGTTAGTTCTTCCTTAGGATCCAAATTGCAAGTACTTGTCCTTTACCAACCTTGCCGACGGCAAAGTTCACAAGTTGAGGCTGCCTAAGCCAATTCATGGAAGTCGGTTTTATGGCTCTTCAAGAGGTTGGTTAATTATGATCCAAGAAAAAAGACTGAATTCTAAAATGTTTCTGTTTAACCCGGTTTCAGGAGCCTTATGCCAACTTCCACCATTGGCGACAATTCCATCTTTAAAAAAGTTTGTAGAAACAAAATGGGATTTGTGTGGTACCAGCTTTTTCTTTCATGACATTGTGCTATCCACCTCAGATATTAATAATTCAGAATGTACGGTGGCAGCGATGTTTGATAATTTAAAGGTGTTGGTTATGTGTAGACCTGGAGACAAAACATGGAGTGGCTTCCAGGTATTAGATGAAAATGAACATCATTGAAAATTATTGTTTTCTAGTACTGGTATCCTTGGCTATTAGTTATATTAAGAGTGAGCTCATCCGACCTCACACTATAAAATTTGGAGATGTGGAAGTGGAATTGATCTTAGTCTATGATAACGAGGAGTGGATTGCAAGTGACATTGAGTATCATAATGACTACAAAATCAGTTTAAATGGGGAATACGAATCATTCTTGTTTGAATCAACCAACAATGAAGTCTTGGTGATCCATCAAATGAGAGATGTTTTTGAAATTCGCAGAAGCGTGGATGATGAGGATGATCAAGAACTGGAACTGGAACTGGAAGGAGGAAATCATCAAGATGATGATGATGAAGAACACAACATGCAAGAAGAAAATGATGATGAACTCGAGGAGGGCGGCACTGACTACAATGATTATCAATATTTCAGGACAGCCGGTTTTAAAGTTTACAAGATTCATCCTGAGACTGGTGACTTTCTTAGGGAACAAAGTTTGGGGGATCAAACATTATTTTTGAGCTTTCATGGTTCCTTCTCTCTTCGGGCGAGCGATTTCATAGAGTTAGACAAAAACAACATTTACTTTGCAACAAATGGAATCGACCCCTTTAATGTTCACAAACCATTTACAACTCGTGAGATCGGCATCTTCTGCCTCGATAATGAAAGAGTTGAGAGATCCTTTCCAAGCGTCCAAAAGTCAATGGGGTCTCGAATGAGTTGGTCTACTCCAAGTTTGGGATAGAGACTAGAGACACAAAGAGACACATGTTGCAGTTTGTAATAGCTTTACTGCTAAGAGAGGAAGTGGGTTCTTTGGTATATGTTGGAAATGTTGCTCTTGCATTATGCTTTACTCGCCCTATAAGAAACACAAATTTAAACTCAACTTTGTTTTGTCCTTTGTTTTTTTTTTTCTTGTACAAATTATTCCGGTTGCCTAGTTATTGATGCTTGATTACCAATTTCCAGTTCCTTTTTATGATTTTCTTTTTGGAGGTTAATTGGGTTGTTCTTATATAGAGGTTTAAACTTGGGATCCCTAATCTTCAATTGCTCATTGGGAGACATTTGGACTCTGCAGGAGTTGTTTGGGGTCGAATCTACCACATATAAGATAACCCTCACAAGAAAAAGGGTATTCAGTACTTGTTGCTATTTCACGTATGACAAATGTAAACAATTGATTCGTGTCCGACGACTGTGTACTATGTTATGTAGTAGAATGCATAAGATATAGAACGATTATAATAACTTAATCCACGATATCCATGATGATTGTAAGTCAACGTAAAAGACATTACTATATATGAGTTGGACCTTTCAACATTCATTACCATAAATAAAACTAATACATACTTCAGAAGAATTTGATTTGGGTGGTGTACATATCTTGTACGTATGTTTTGGGTGTTCATATTGTAGTTATGTCCAAAACTACATGGTTCTTCTAGACTTCTATTCACTTATTTTTTCCATGTAAACCTTGAATACTAAAACCTAAATCCAAAACGCTAATTTTTCAAGAAAATGTAGTTATAATTTTTCAATCTCCATTCTGCTGTGAGCAAATTATTGGCTCCTGCCAGTCAAGGGCAGCAACCAGAATAGTGGTTACAATTCACAACCAGCTAGCACTGTCCTCATTGTCAATTTAGTATTGCAACAAATGTGCAGAGCTAGAATCTAGTAACTTTGTTGTAAAATGCAGAAATGGAGAAAAGACAGAGTGAGCTCATCCAACCTCGCACCATAAAATTTGGAGATGCAGAAGTGGAATTGATCTTAGTCTATGATAATGAGGAGCAGATTGGAATTGACGTTGAGTATCATAATGACTACAAAATCAGTTTAAATGGGGAATACAACTCATTCTTGTTTGAATCAACCAACAATGAAGTCTTGGTGATCCATCAAATAGGAGATGTTTTTAAAATTCGCAGAAGCGTGGATGATGAGGATGATCAAGAACTGGAACTGGAACTCGAAGGAGGGAATCATCATCAAGATGATGATGAAGAAGAAGAACACAACATGCAAGAAGAAAATGATGACGAGCTCGAGGAGGGCAACACTGACGATGATCATGAATATTTCAGGACATCTGGTTTTAAAGTTTACAAGATTGATCCTGAGACTGGTGACTTTCTTCAGGAACAAAGTTTGGGGGATCAAACCTTATTTTTGAGCTTGCATGGTTTCTTCTCTCTTCGGGCGAGCGATTTAATAGAGATAGAAAGGAACAACATTTACTTTGCAACAATTGGATTGGACCCCTTTAATGTTCGCAAACCATTTACATCTCGTGAGATCGGCATCTTCTGCCTCGATAATGAAAGAGTTGAGAGATCCTTTCCAAGCGTCCAAAAGTCAATGGGGTCTCGAATGAGTTGGTCTACTCCAAGTTTGGGATAGAGACTAGCTAGATATAACTTATAAGATAGATGAGTATCTTTGAACACCCTTGTCTCTTAGAAAATAGAACAACTTTCATTGCACAAGTTCCAGTTTGTAGTCATTTTGATTTATTTTCTGTTATTTGATCCCAAGGACTGATTTCATTATGCCATTTTGTAAATTGTAACTCAAATTTTCCCGTTTTATGTATTTTATTAGAGTTTCAAGTTCTTCTTCTGCTCTAACTCTAAATCAATAATTGGTCAAAGGGCTCCTTCATAGCTGCATTCAGAAACTACAATTGATGCCACAAAATAAAATACATTACAACCGCAAAACTCTCAGTGGAATTCTACTCGTTCAGGGTACTTTGTTCCTTAAGTTGTGTGTGGATGCAATGCAATTCAAAATTTTGACTACTGTGAGTTTCTTTGTATTAGGGAGTTACAATAGTTAATCATACTAATGATAGGAAATGGTCAGTTGTCAGTTACGTTGTTATTAGGTCATAACTCCATATTTATGTTTATGATAATGGCTTGTTGTAACTGTAGATTATTCTCTACAGACTTTATATATATTGTATAATGATCATATGAATAATATAATGGAAAATCAGTTTCTACATGGTATCAGAGCTAATGGCTAACGCCAATTAGCGATCCTTCATTTGCTAACATTGAGAGTCGTTGGCTCTCCTCGCCCGAAAGGGTGTTTGCTTCTGTATAGTTCTTCATCTTCTCCTCCCTTCTATAATCAGTAAATTTTTTTTTTCTTTCTCTCTGCCGTTGCCATTTCCTTTTATTTTTCAACGCTCCCTGGCAAGCTCTTCTGCTCATTGATGGGCCTTTATCTTTCACTCTCTCCGTGTCTAACTCTCTGTTGAAGATTGAGCCATTTCTCCTTCTTATGCTCTCTATTGAAGATTGAGCCTTCTCCCCTTTGTCAGTTGTCATAGCTCGCCAAGCCTTATCCTAGCCGGCCTTTGTCTCTGTCATGCTGTGCTTCACTGTTGTTAGTCCCTTTGCACAACCGTTGTCTATCCCTCATGTGCTCTCTCTCTCTCTCTCTACAGGATCTCATTCCTTTTTTTCTTTTTTTTCTCTATCAAAACTCCCTCTTGAACTCTCTCTCTTTCTCTGGTTATATCAAGACTCCCTCTCTTTCTCTTTGGTGTCATGAGCCCCCCATTTTTCCAATATCTATCTACACGCATGCTTCCCCTTCGCTTCATCTCTCTCTCCTGCCCAAACACTCGTGCTCCTCAACTTTATGCTTTCCTTCCTTTATTTTGTTTTTTATTTGTTTTTATTAGAAGCCCGTATCTTCTTTATAAAATAACAATAAATAAAAAAATCAATAAAAATAAAACTTCCTTTCACTTCCTTCTCCATGTTCGTCTCTTGGCATGATGGCCATATCTCTGTTTTCCCTCGAAGACCACACCTTTCTATTGTTGGTTTCTCTCTTTCTCTTGACATCTCTGTCCACTTCTTTGTCTCCCTCACGCCGTCTCTCTCGCTGAGCTGGTTTCTCTTTCCTCCGTGAGCCTCGTCAACGCTCGCCGAGCCTTCTCTACCTTGCTACCCTGCCAGTGTTCCCTTTGCACAGCCCCTGTTTCTTCCTTTGTGTTGCCAACTTGGTATTGGCCACTCAAGCCCTATCATTGTGTTGTTGCCTTGGTATCGGCCTCTCACGCTCTATCTATGCTCAACCTGTGTTCTCCTCCCCTCTTAAGCCCAATCTATTTCTTTGATTTTACTGTTGGTCTCTGTCTTCTTCAATGCTCTCTTGCGCTGCCTTTCTTCTTCTCTTTTACTCGGATATTGTCTTCTTTTCTTTATAATTATTTTATGTTACTGGGGTATTCTCTTCTCTTCTTTTCAATTGTGTTTTCTCTCTCCCTGTCATGGGTTGTCTTTGGAATCTTGAGTTTCCTTTCCTTTTCATGGATTGTCTCTTGCATCTTGTTCTCTCTCCCTCTCTTGACTACTTTCTCTGTCTCACTTGGTTTCCTTTTTTATTTCTTATTATTGTTTTTTTTTGGGTCAATAATCCCTCTTTATTTTAATCTTTATGGGCTTCTATGCTCGTGTGATGATTTTTCTTTATTACTTCTCTATTCCCCCGTGGTTTTCTTCCTCATACCTTCTTGTTTCTATGGTTCTTTGAAATTCAAACTTGCCCATGCTCTCGTTTTCTTTTCTCTGTGTCCCAAGTTGGTTTCACCTCTTATCCTCTACTGTTGTGCTGCATCCTCTACTGTGTTGCTTACCATGTGATACATTTTCTTTTCTTTCCACTTCCTCTCTTCCTATGGGTGTAACTTTTTTATTTATTTTGCGCAACTTTTATTTTTCTACATGGCTACTTTTTTTTCTCACTTACCGCATGCTCTTTATCCTACCTTCACTTCCTGCCTTTCAATGGGCATTATGTTTACTTTGTTTCTCTCATGCCGCTGTTGCAACTCTGGAGATTGGAGTTCTTCTTTTTGGTTCCCCTTACTGGACTACTACAACCGACTGCTGCCGCCATCTCCATTACTATGTAGTTTCTTCATTCAAATCTTGCTATACTGTGTGCGCTCGATTTGCGGGGGAGTATTAGGGAGTTACAATAGTTAATCATACTAATGATAGGAAATGGTCAGTTGTCAGTTACGTTGTTATTAGGTCATAACTCCATATTTATGTTTATGATAATGGCTTGTTGTAACTGTAGATTATTCTCTACAGACTTTATATATATTGTATAATGATCATATGAATAATATAATGGAAAATCAGTTTCTACACTTTGTCTCATAAGTCTTAAGTGATGGATGGAGAGAGATTTGAATTGTTCATAAATAAATAAATGAAGCTAAGTGTTTGAATCTATCTCATATTTCATCCTCCCCAGCTCCGCTTCCCTCATTTTCTGTATCTTCATTCCTGTTTTCTTCCTCCTCTTGCTCTTATACCTGCTTCCTATAATCTCCAGAGCACAATATATATGAGGGTAGGGAATTAGGGATCCCAAGTTGAAACCTTTATAGAAGAACGCACACCTCAACCCACCCCCATGTTTGAATTGAAATACAGAAAATGATCTGGTCCGGTCCTAATATACACTACACGGAGGCAATAGACAGACAGACAGTCACAGCACCTAGTTTACCTAATGAGAATCAGAAAAAGGCCAAAATTCTAAACAAGTCTCCATCTCTTCCCAATCCCAATCCCACTTTATATACAATTGATATATATTGTTTTGTAAGTTGACACTACTGATAAAGAAAGTATCCAAAGGATAGTACAACAAAGCCATACCAACCCAAAGAGAAAAATAAGTCAATGGGGTCTTGAATGAGTTGGTTTACTCCAAGTTTGGGATAGAGACTAGCTAGATATAACTTATCATATTTAAAAATTGGCTATTAAGCATCAACAAATAACCTGCAAAATGAAAAGTCATGTCAATATGAGAAGTAAGAAGGGGGCACACTTAGCAGAAACAAAGCTATCATTAATAGAACCATTAGAAAATGATAGAAGATTACAAAGTCATTCAACTACTGAACATGGTTCGTTAGCAGACAATAAACACCCTAAAATAACAAATCATCAAACGACTAGTCAAACTAAACTAATGGTTCCTTCATAACTACATTGCATAATGGCGCAATGGAAGAAACCATCTTGTTCAGTCATCATGGAGAGGTGACTTGTTTTCTGATTCTGTTCGAGCGCCTAACAGGAGTAACAATTTCTTCTTCTCCCTGCAGAAACAAAGCACAAATTATGAGAAACAATAAGATGGTGAATGTGTTAAGTGTAGGAATGAGCAGTATATTATACTCACATGCTTGATTGGAATTTTCTCATATGTTGTAAAACTTCCATAAGATGGTGAACCCATGTAGGAATCAATTGAAGTCAGGGACTCTCTCCTATGGTTCTTCCTGGGCATCTCCTGGCTTTCAGCTTTATCGAATGCCTTCAGTCCTTTTGTGCAATACGATGAGCTCTTTTGGATGTTGCTCATTTCAGAAGGACATGGCTCTCCAATCCAGTTCCAAGAAGAGGGTCTTTCCTGGAAAGTGTGCTCAGTGCTAAATGGCACAGTAGGACTTGCATCCAGTTTCCTAGTCAGCGATGGTTGAACCACAGAGATAGCAGGATTTGAGGCTGTGCTCTTCCTTTTCTTTCCATAAATGAAGGCTGTGGATCCAATTAATGCCGAAACCAACAAAGCAATTCCCAGCATAGTCACCATGGAAACCTTAAATTCAGTCTCATCAACTGCAAGATCCACTTCTTCTGAAGTTTGAACATTCTTACATGAAGCATCCACTTTTGGACTTATAGGACTGTGATCCTTGAAAGACTCCACTTCAGCACCAGTACTCATTTCACTTTCAAGCTCCTGGATTCCAGAAACTACAGTGTTAACCTTTTCTGCCAGTGAAATCAATACTATCTCCTCCCTCATGCTTACATTACTTTCTGGCTCGCTGTCCATGTGATCAGCACCAACATTTTCTTCTTGACTCTGCTCAACTTTTGAACTTTCTAGTTCAACTAAATCAGCATGTGCAGCCTGAAGTACTACTTCCCCAGAAATAAAATTATTGTTTCCTTCTGAAACCTCTTCAATGTTAACAGCTGCTTCAGCCTCTTGGTCAACTTGTTCTTCATGTTCTGGATCAACACGTACTACTTCTACAGTGCTCTCAACTGCTCCAATCTCTGGCTGACCCTTTTCTTCCACAACTTGGATTTCAACAGGTGTTTCAGCGTCTTCATTAACTTTTTCATCATATTCTGGATCAGCATATACTTCTACAGTGTTTTCAGCTGCACCAATCTCTGTCCGACCATTCTCTCCCAAGGCTTCAATGTCAACTACATCAAACTCATACTTCCTTTCCATTCCTTTGTCACAATGATCAAACACAGAGTATCCATCAACCCGTACATCCTCCATTAAAGCAGTCAAATTACAATACTGCAAGGGGCCCAAATCGTGTGCATCTCTGAGATGAAAAATCAACTCAGAAATGAAAGAGACAGAATTAGCAGACCAAACCTGAAAATTTCTAGCTAACCCATCAAGACTTGATCTAGCAAATTCAGCCACTTCAGAATGGTCATATTCCTTCAAGAAGCTCAGGTCCTTAAGCACAGAACTATCAATTACCGGTGAATGAATAACTGAAACTGACAAAAAAGCAACTACCAACAATAGAAGCAAAGCAGTGAACTTTGATTTCCAAAAGAAGCCTGTCTTGGAGGACCATTTTACTTCAGCAGCCTCCTCCTTTGACATGAAAGTGTTGGTGGTGCTAATGTCGCATGGTTCAGACACATTGACCCCCTGCTTTTCCTCTTCTTCCTCTTCTTCTTCATTTTCTTCTGGTAGCTGCTGTTCCTCTTTAACAGCTGTCGATTTTCAGGTCGTCAGTGAAATAAACAGAGGATCAAGCTCTGGAAATAACATGTGAGTACTTCTTCTTGCACGCACTGCATTGGAGTTTCCCTTTTAATTACAATTGGCTAAATTGGTTTATCATTGAATATTTGGATGATTTTTTAATGTAGTGGATATTATACAATTGTGTCATCAATGAATATGCCTTTTTGACTTTGTTTAGTTGCTTGTTTTCATGATGGCTGTGCTTTTTGGTTTGTTGATTTGTTATTGTGGTTTCAGCTTGATCAGAAATTGCACTACAGTTTCTGATTGTTTAAGTTGAATTGATTAAGCCCCAATGATGATTGGATTTTAGGAAGAAGTCTGTCTGTTTTTGAAGCTATATGTTCTTTTGACTTAGTTCTAGCACTTTGATCATGGCTTTTGACTTTTTGTTGCCTTACAATTTTGTTAGAGTTAGTTTCTGTTTGGTGCAGTTTTGCACACAATGCGTTGCAGTTTTGCACACAATGCGTTGCAGTTTTACACACACTGCTTTGCAGTTTTACACACTGCATTGCAGTTTTACACACACTGCATTGCAGTTTCCATTTAATTACATTTGGCTAAATTGTTTTATCATTGAATATCTTAATATCTTATGGTAGATAGTTTATAAGCTCTTTGGTATCCCTCCCTTACAAACTGGCTTTTGGGACTAATCTTATCTAACCATGAGTGGTGTGACATGCGGTATAATTGGTGAACCTTAGACTTACATTGAGATTGAATTGCCGATATAGGTTTAGGTGGCCTTGTTGTCCAAATAATTGCTAGATAAATTGAAATTATAGACAAATTGGCAGTCTCAATTTAACTCTAGAATGGTACCACTTGCCACTTATCAATATAAGTTGTATATTCTTTTGCCTTTTAATCTTTTGATAAATTTAAGTTCAAAACTTTTCTTTGTTCTGGTCTCTTTTCCTTCATTCCCTTCGTCATTTCTTTCTTCATCTCCTCCTTCTGCTTCTTCTTTTTCATCTCATTCTCCTTCATTCTCCTTCATCTGATTGTGTAATTTTGAAGTTTTTTTTTATTACATTGTTGTAAAATGACACCTTACTTTTGGGTCATTGACCTCAAGTAAATTAGGTGAAATTAGCGTCCTATCTATCACAAAAGAGAACTCCCTATTGATTTTAAACCAAAGCTCCCTTTATACATAATTCACTTTTTTATTATAAAATTATATTTTAAATTATTCTAATTTATAGAGAGGGGTATTCGAACTTGGATGATCAGAAGAAGATTATGCACTAAGGCCTCGTTTGGTATAATTTTTAATGTTTAAGTGATATAATATTTTTCTTATAATATATGTAGTGATTATTGTAAGTGATTTTATTTTTAAATATTTCAATTAATTTCATAAATTACCTCTTATACTTGGACTAGGGGTAGGACGACATTGATTTCTAAATGACTTTATTGTTTAGGTAATATTCTTATTGCTAATATTTTTAGATTTTTTTTTCTATCCCTCTTATATTTTCACGATTTTAGCAGTGATCATTCCTTACTCTCAATGTCTCAAACACACACACACACACACACACCCCTATATATGTATGTAATTTAGGTACTAATTGTTGCTGTGCTTTATTTCTCAGATCTGATGATTTGTGTGTGTCTTGGAACTTTCTCTTCATTGCTGTTTTATTTTTAGGCTTTCTATTTTGAAGGCCTTGAACTTTGATGATCTGTGTCTCTCCTTTTGGCTGTTTATGAGTTGCTTTAAGTTGTGGGTTAAGCTAGATTTCCTTTCTTTTTTACTCTTTTCAGTTAGCTTAGCACACAAGCTCCATGTTTTGCGTATCTCATATCATCTCCATGTTTGTTGAATATTATGTTAAAGTAGCATTTCATCAGTATTACTTGATGACAATTGTTATTTTGCAGCTTTGCCACCTCTGAGTGTGCTGGAAATTGTTATTTTTACAGCATTGACTTGTATAAGTATTAATATATAGGGTGGTTCACAAGGTTTGGGTCAGAAATTTTTGCATGTTTTTTAGTAATTTTGATCAAGTTTTCCCCTTTTTGAATTTTATGTGCAGCTCTTTTGAACTATAAGTTGGGGCAGAGTATTTCTTTACTTGATCAAACAAGTCTCTTCCAGGAATTGCAGAAAGAAGAAGAAGGTAATGGCTCTAAGCCTAGGATATTGTATTGTATTATAAGTCTGGGATTCTATATTGAACTTGGTGTTCTAATATAATTACGTGGCTGAAAATCTATTTTTCTGCACAAAGTACTGACTTGAATTTTGAATGGCATGATATTTGTGTTAGTAATAATTGTTAATAGCAGTACAAAGTTCATTTTAGTTAAGTTGAGTTGTTCTGCCAATAAAAATGAGTCCCAGAAAATTTGCAATCAACTCAACTTAGCTGAATTGAGTTCTCATAGTATTCAAGTTTCTTCATCACATTCAATTCATTCCTTAGTTGGCCTTTTGGGACGAAGTAAAAGAGATTTGGAATCTTGTTTGTTATGAACTTATGTTGTTTTCCTGCAGTTTCTTGAAAAGGGGTAATTTGATTTTAATCGCATAATTTTTTGTTGGGTGCTTGTTTTTATTTATGGAGCAGTGGAGTCATTGACAGAGATAAGGAAAAAGCAGATGAAGAAAGACTGGGATTTTGGGGAAAGATACAGGAGAAGGGCATTGGACTATATCAATTGAATGGAGGATGAAAGGCTTCGAGAGCTTTGTCATATGTGACTGCACCTTCAACCACCATTTAGTTAAAGACAATTTACTTTCATTAAACTTCTCAGATGTACTAGAATCGTTTTCAGTAATAAAAATACAATTTATAGTATTTGTTAATCTTGATGTCTTAAGTTTTGCTTAATCTTGGTATATATATATATATATATGTATATATATTAATTTCTTATTGCAGAATATACGGTAGGGTAGGGAATTGAGGATCCTATGATGAAAGTTTTATGTAAGAACCAAAAAGAAAATTAAAAAGGAAAAAATGTGCAACAGTAAAATGGGCACACTTAGAAGAAACAAAGCTATCATTAATAGAACCATTAGAAAATGGTGGAAGATTACAAAGTCATTCAACTACTGAACATGGTTCGTTAGCAGACAATAAACACCCTAAAATAACAAATCATCAAACGACTAGTCAAACTAAACTAATGGTTCCTTCATAACTACATTGCATAATGGCGCAATGGAAGAAACATCTTGTTCAGTCATCATGGAGAGGTGACTTGTTTTCTGATTCTGCTCGAGCGCCTAACAGGAGTAACAATTTCTTCTTCTCCCTGCAGAAACAAAGCACAAATTATGAGAAACAATAAGATGGTGAATGTGTTAAGTAGGAATGAGCAGTATATTATACTCACATGCTTGATTGGAATTTTCTCATATGTTGTAAAACTTCCATAAGATGGTGAACCCATGGAGGAATCAATTGAAGTCAGGGACTCTCTCCTATGGTTCTTCCTGGGCATCTCCTGGCTTTCAGCTTTATCCGATGCCTTCAGTCCTTTTGTGCGATACGATGAGCTCTTTTGGATGTTGCTCATTTCAGAAGGACATGGCTCTCCGATCCAGTTCCAAGAAGAGCGTCTTTCCTGGAAAGTGTGCTCAGTGCTAAATGGCACAGTAGGACTTGCATCCAGTTTCTTAGTCAGCGATGGTTGAACCACAGAGATAGCAGGATTTGAGGCTGTGCTCTTCCTTTTCTTTCCATAAATGAAGGCTGTGGATCCAATTAATGCCGAAACCAACGAAGCAATACCCAGCATAGTCACCATGGACACCTTAAATTCGGTCTCATCAACTGTAAGATCCAATTCTTCTGAAGTTTGAACATTCTCACATGAAGCATCCACTTTTGAGCTTATAGGACCGTGATCCTTGGAACACTCCACTTCAGCACCAGTACTTATTTCACTTTCAAGCTCCTGGATTCCAAAAACTACAGTGTTAACTTTTTCTGCTAGTGAAATCAATACTATCTCCTCCCTAATGCTTACATTACTTTCTGGTTCGCTGTCTATGTGATCAGCACCAACATTTTCTTCTTGACTCTGCTCAACTTTTGAACTTTCTAGTTCAACTAAATCAGCATGTGCAGCCTGAAGTACTACTTCCCCAGAAATAAAATTATTGCTTCCTTCTGAAACCTCTTCAATGTTAACAGCTGCTTCAGCCTCTTGGTCAACTTGTTCTTCATGTTTTGGATCAACACGTACTACTTCTACAGTGCTCTCAACTGCTCCAATCTCTGGCTGACCCTTTTCTTCCACAACTTGGATTTCAACTGGTGTTTCAGCCTCTTCATTAACTTGTTCATCATATTCTGGATCAGCATATACTTCTACAGTGTTTTCAGCTGCACCAATCTCTGTCTGACCCTTCTCTCCCAAGGCTTCAATGTCAACTACATCAAACTCATACTTCCTTTCCATTCCTTTGTCACTGTGATTAAACACAGAGTATCCATCAACCCGTACATCCTCCATTAAAGCAGTCAAATTACAATACTGCAAGGGGCCCAAATCGTGTGCATCTCTGAGATGCAAAATCAACTCAGAAATGAAAGAGACAGAATTAGCAGACCAAACCCGAAAATTTCTAGCTAACCCATCAAGACTTGATCTAGCAAATTCAGCCACTTCAGAATGGTCATATTCCTTCAAAAAGCTCAAGTCTTTAAACACAGAACTATCAAGTACCGGTGAATGAATAACTGAAACTGACAAAAAAGCAACTACCAACAATAGAAGCAAAGCAGTGAACTTTGATTTCCAAAAGAAGCCTGTCTTGGAGGACCATTTTACTTCAGCAGCCTCCTCCTTTGACATAAAAGTGTTGGTAGTGCTAATGTCGCATGGTTCAGACACGTTGACCCCCTGCTTTTCCTCTTCTTCCTCTTCTTCTTCATTTTTTTCTGGTAGCTGCTGTTCCTCTTTAACAGCTGCATCAGAAGTAACATCTTCCAATTCCTTCTGAGAATATTCAGACTGAGTTTCTTCAGTAGTATCAGTGTCTGAAGAGCTTCCAGAGATGAAGTTATCCTCAAGTCTCTTGCCCTCTCTTTCCTTACTCAGATAATATTCAATTCTTGGGTTGGGTCTATAATGAAGGAACTGAGGCCTCGGAGAAAGATAATTGGTTTTAGGATCATAAGGATGAGCAGAGGGATCATCATCAAGGGGTGCTATGACCGGACTGGACTTTGGACAACAAGGTGGAGGACTAATCTTGAAACTCGGGTCAAGATTAACCGAGTCAGGTTCCTCAGAGGCACTTACACAAACAGGTTCCTCTGGTTCGTTTTTGGAACACAAGGGCTCCTTTGAACAAATATCTTTTTGGGTTTTCGGAGTTGTGAAAACCAGATGAGGGGCAAGGCCTACCTTCATGTGCTCTGGATCCTCCACTCTTGGATTCAGACACGAACTTTTCAAATCGGAGAATGAGACCGATGAAGCCCGAACTGGCTCGTTCCTCTCCGCCAAGATTTTCTTTCTTGGAGACGTAGTGACCTTGGAAGCCGCTGAAATTGTCGGTGACATGAAATTCTTTGTGCCGTTTGAGCCACTTGGTGAACGGACTCTCATCTGCTTCCAGTTCTGGTCCTTGCCGTTTTCTTTGTCCTCAGAATCGCGAAAGGTAACCACGGTTGCCCTTCCCATCGAGCTTCGTCGTGGGTTCTCTGCAATTAACAACAATAAAGAAAGAACAAATCAGAAACAGAAACCCAAAAAAAATCAGACAGCAAAAGAAGTACAACATATATGAATTTTCTGTGCCTTTCTCTTATTTTCCCAGCCATTTTCTTGGCAACCAAACAGAGAAAAACATCACGACAACGATAAAAATTCGACTGAAAAAGGAAAATGGGTCGTGCCAGAAGGACTGTTGGCCGGAGTATTAGGGTTGAAGCTCCTCGGATTTGCATTAATTGAAGGTTTCACAAATGAGTTCCCAGTAAAGCTTCTCCGCATGGGATTGCCGATTTCAGAGTTTCTTAAATTGGGGTTTGATTTGCTTGCGATTGGTGAAGACGACGACTTGTTCGGAGGCATGGCCATGATGGGTTTGCTCTGTTATTGATAAAGAAATAACTAAGGAGAGAATTGAAAATCAAATACCAGGTGAGCAAAGAATGGTAAGTTTTGTGCAATCTTGAGAATTTGATTAAAGAGATTCGAGGCAGTAACGGCTAGTTTTCAAACGAGGAGGTTTTGAATTTAAATGGAAATTATTTGACCGTTGGGGGATTGGAATTTAATAGTCGCAAGCAAGGGAGAGGAAAGGGGCTTCAAGCCGTTGGATTTTGAATGTAAATAGCCGTTGAGGATCTTCTTTGATATAGTTAGGGTTGGGGGGTTGAAGAAGGGTGTTTGACTTGATTTTACTATGGAATTATTTTAACATCAAGAACAAAAAATACACATGGGATGTGGGCCTTTTTCTGCAGATAAATAAGAAAAATACGGGAAATTATAAAAGACAACCAAATAGAAAGATACATTCGTGCACACCTTTCATATATACACTAAAAATTATACTCAAACTACGATCAAAGCAAAACCAGAGTTTTGATGTAGATTGTTGTAATTTTTTACCATAAATTGTATGCCAAAATTAAGCCAACAAATAATCCTCATCAATCCTCATCCCTGAAGATAAAGTCTAATTAAAACATTGATTCATATTTTCTCTTTACCAAAAGTAATTTTTTTGCAAGGGGCTAGGAGTTCAAGCGAGTAAGACTCAAGAGTAGTTGCCTCTGCACTTGAGGTTACATGTTCAAATCCCCTAATCACTCAGGTTAAAAAAAAGAAAGAAAAATAAACTTTTCCAAATTACTAAGGCTATTGGGCTACATTGTTTCTCCCTACGAATCCAAGCCCAACTTAAATGCTTATTGGGCTAATAACACATCCACTTTTCACTTCACCAACAAGCCCATACTGCCAAACAGCCTTTCACTTCCCAATCCTTAAACCCTCCCAACTCCCAAGTTTCTCCTCTTTCTTCTATCCACATACTCTGCTACCCGCCATGTCCCTCCTCCGCAGGACCTTCCCTCTCCTACCCCTCCGCTCCAAACCCCTAAACCCTCTCCTATCCCACGCCTTCCTTATTCTCAAACCCTCCTTCCCTAAACCACTTCCCAAACACACCTCCATTTTCTCTTCTTCGTCTTCTTCTTCCTCCTCCACCACACCCATTTCCAATCCCAAGACCCCAATTGCCCCGACCCCTCTCCAATGGGTCACCCGAACCGGCTTCTGCGGCGAGCTATCCACCGCCGATGTGGGCAAACGGGTCACGCTTTGCGGGTGGGTCGCCCTCCACCGGGTCCATGGCGGCCTCACCTTCCTCAACCTCCGGGACCACACCGGCTCTGTTCAGGTCACCACTCTTCCCGATACGTTTCCCGATGCTCATTCCGCCATTAACGACTTGAGGCTCGAGTACGTCGTTGCCGTCGAAGGCGTTGTCCGGTCTAGACCGGCCGACTCCGTCAACAAGAAGATGAAAACGGGCTCAATAGAGGTTGCAGCAGAGAGTGTTCAGGTGTTGAATGCTGTGAGGTCAAAGTTGCCATTTTTAGTGACTACTGTAGATGATGCTAAGGATTCTGTTAAGGAGGAGATACGTCTAAGGTAATCTCACACTTCTCAGTGTTACTCTTTAGAGGAAATGACTTGAATTTTCTTTCTTTATTTTTTTTCGTCAAGGTTAATTGAAATTACTTAGATACATGTTGATAGATACCGGTGCCTTGATCTACGCCGTCAACAAATGCATTCAAACATGATGTTGCGGCATAAAGTTGTGAAATTGATTCGGAGACATCTCGAGGATGTACATGGTTTTGTAGAGGTACCATCTCGGGACTTCTTGATTTTTAAAGTCGTTACGTATTACATTTCCATACTCATTATTTACCTTTTTTTCGTTGGGTTTCAGAAACAAAGGTAGAAAAGTTAAGTTTTGTTTTGATTCTGATTTTTTATCATGGTTATAAGGTAGATTGAGACTCCAATACTCTCTAGATCTACACCAGAAGGTGCCCGAGATTATTTAGTGCCCTCAAGAGTTCAGGTACCTTACCCTACAGTTATTTAGCTGGCACTCACTTCAATTATTATTATTTTTATGGTGAATCACTCACTTAGTCTGGTCTGCCATACACTACTCAGAAAGCCTGTGAATCCCCCACTTACATTGGATTTTTAGTTTACTTAGCTGTTTACTTCCATTTATCTTGGCTTTTGAGCTTATTTGCTCTAATGTGTAATTTGAAGCCAGGAACATTTTATGCTTTGCCTCAAAGTCCACAACTGTTCAAGCAAATGTTAATGGTTTCTGGTTTTGATAAGTATTATCAAATAGCAAGGTAAATATACTGTCGTCGTTCTGTCTCGTTCTTTTCATGGTAGATTTTCTGCCTTCCTTCAATAAGCCTGTTACTTCACATGACCATTTTCCTTAGATGCTATGATAATAAATCAAAGAGTATGATCGTTATGCAGACTTTCAACCGGAATTGGAAAAGTCCAACTTTGCGTTTCTTTTTGTAGGTGCTTTCGAGATGAAGATCTAAGAGCTGATAGACAACCTGAATTCACACAGCTTGATATGGAGCTTGCTTTCACTCCTTTGGAGGAGATGCTGAAGCTTAATGAAGATTTGATTAGAAAGGTTAGTTATTAGTTGGCTCCTATTAATCAAAGAGAGAGGGAAAGGGGTGAGAAAACTTAGCCTTTGAAATATGACATCTCTTTAACATACATCTGCACATTACTGGGCAATTAGAAATCTATCTGTGCTTTTTGCAGGTTTTTCTAGAGATCAAAGGTGTACATCTCCCAAACCCTTTTCCTAGGCTTACGTATGCTGAAGCAATGAGTCGATATGGTTCAGACAGGCCAGATATTAGATTTGATCTTGAGTTAAAAGATGTAATCATCTTTCCCTTGACTTACATGTTTAGTATTTAATGGATTTCATATTGCAGATGATAGATTATAGACATCCCTGGATGCAGTTCACAGTCTCTTAAAATTTATACTGGATACAGTTTAATAACATTATGTTTGCATCTTTAAAAGTTGTTTTATCAACTTCAAAAGATTTATCTGGTATAGTTGAGTTTTCTTATCTTTAAGAATACTGTTCTCTTTTCTTTCAAATGTGGATCTTTTGTAGACATAGCCAGAAATTTGAAGTATTTCTAGCGTGTATCTTGTTTAAAGATTTCATGTAATAGTCAAAACGTTTGCATGTCGCATCCAAGCTTGAAGTTGTAGTTTTTCTTTTCAGCTTTCCTGATGTAGATAAAAAATAGGTACCATCCTGTCACACATTAAATAAAGGACTAATGTTGCTCCACACAGATTTGGAGTCTAGATTTATATGGAAAAACACCCAATACTTTGATAAAAGTGTTTTTCTCATAAAACCTCATGTTCCCACACTATGGGTACTGCTCTCTTTTATAGCTTACTTCTAATGGCTTTTTCTTCTCCCTAAGCATATAAGTGAAACATTCAGCATTCCAATAAAACCCTTATGACCTTTTTCCTTTATGGCTTGAATACGTTTCCATGTGCTTTTATACCTGATCAACAGTTCTTTTTTCCCCCTAATTTTTTACATGTTTGTTACGTAAAAATTTATTTGAAGTTCTTGTTAAATTGAGGTTTCCTTTATTTGAATTTCAGGTATCTGATATATTCTCAGATTCCCCCTTCAAGGTTTTTGCCGATACTTTGCAAAGTGGGGGAGTTCTCAAAGTTTTATGTGTACCTTCAGGTGCTAAGAGCTATTCAAACACGGCTCTAAAGAAGGGTGATCTTTACAATGAAGCAATCAAATCTGGAGCGAAGGGTTTGCCTTTCCTCAAGGTCTTGAATGATGGTGAGAAAGTAATTTTATTTTAATTTGTGATGCTTAAGATATATTTCTATTGCAGTATCTCACTGTTGGCGGTTTTCTACCTTTTTTTCTTAGGGAGAGTTGAGGGAATTCCTGCGTTGGTATCTACTATGGATCCAATAAATACCGAGCAGTTTCTGAGTCGTTGCTCTGCCAGACCAGGTGATCTTATCTTGTTTGCAGTGGGTCATCATTCATCAGTTAATAAAACTCTAGATCGACTACGGGTCTATCTGGCACATGAGCTTGGTTTGGTTGATGATGTAAGTGTTACCATCAAATTATAAGGTGAATATTGATCATAGTTCTTCTCATTTGCTGACTCTTTTTCTTTTGGACTTTATGGCTAATATCTAGTCCAGGCACTCAATTATGTGGGTGACCGATTTCCCAATGTTTGAATGGAATGATTCTGAGCAAAGGCTGGAGGTATTTCTCTTGTTTGTATTCCATCTCTTGCAGTTTAACTATGTGATATGTGTTTTTTTACATTACAAATTTGTACTAACACTGATTCATAATTGAGTTGTCATCAATGGGAACCTAATATATGGGTGAGATATTAATCCTTGCATATCATCAAGATATCCTGGATTTCTTGTGGGGTTTGAGCAGTCTGTGGTCACTGGATATATTCCTTTTGCATCTAAAGTAGGTGAAACAAAATTATTGAAGACTAAAAGGAATTAATGGGAATTAAATGATACTTGTTAAGTATTGTTTTTGATTTTGAAGAAAGGATTTGTGGGCAACTGTTAGAGAACCTCTTGGTAATTTGTAAATCTTTATTGCATCTTCCATCTCTTATTGTCTGTACAATGCTGCATATATGCTCAAAATCATTATTGATTTTCAGGCCTTGCACCACCCTTTCACTGCCCCAAATCCTGAAGACATAAAAGATCTTTCTTCTGCTCGTGCTTTAGCTTATGACATGGTTTACAATGGAGTTGAGGTACACCTTTGTTACTTTTCTCCTCTCAGCTTGAAGTCAAATGCATTTGCTAATTCTCTCTCCTAGATAATAAATTGATGTGGTGTTTCCTATGGTGCCAACAGATTGGTGGGGGAAGTTTGAGAATATATAAACGTGAGGTGCAGCAAAAAGTTTTGGAAATTGTTGGTATCTCCCCTGAAG